TTTATCTCTGTCCCTTGTAATATGAAGTTTAAGCAGACAAACTGATGGCTGGCTTTAATGTACTTAATGTATGGTCAGAGACTGAATGTTTATGTACTCTTATCACATGTTCAATATCTAATTGCCTTGGAATTTGGAGTTAGCAAATTTGGGGTAATTACATTTAGAAGATAATATGAGGTGGAGTCAACTTCATGGGATTAGTGTCCTTATCGGAGAAGAAAGAGACCAAGGCGACTTCCCACCATTCGAGGATGCAGTGAGAAACCTGCTGTGAGATGTAACTGGTATTTTCACCTTAGCCCGGGCTAAGGCAGAATCCACCGGAGTTACACCCTAGATACCGTTCATGCTTAGCAGTCCTTTGGATGCCACTGTGAACATTGTATAACTATTCACAAAGCAACTTGCTTTGAGGAAATATGCCACCACAAAGGTTTAAATGAAACAAAATCTATGACTAGCCTCATCCCATGGTCCTGATGCCTGCCACTTGGTCTTCTAGGACATCTTAGTTGTATGACTGGGATAAATCAAAAGAATTACAGAAGATGGTAACAAGAGCCAGTTTCCAATGATAGCCCATTCACTTCTGCTCAACTTTCTTTGCAAGCATAGGGCCATGAAAGAAGAGGCAAGGCTGGAGCTCTGTCCCTCCATGCTGGTTTGAACAATAAAAGACAAAGTTCTTCTGGATAAATTTGAGGGATGATGTTCATTTATATTGTGGAACCTGTATCGTTTTAGAATTATCAAGAAAAGTCAAGAGTGGGGTTGGGAAAGATGGCAGAGAATGAGGTAAGGGTGACATTGATGAGCATGCATTATATGCATAAACAGACATGCTGAACTGAAACCCTTTTGTATAAGTACTTAAAAGATAATAAAAAATTTACAAGGAAGGTTTTGTGTGTGTGTCTGTATTTACTTCATGAAGATACCAAAAGATCTAAAAGGAATCATTAAAATTTTGAGGCCAGGGATTACTGAAAGTGTTTGGCGGGGGAGACCCCAGCAGCCCGGATGTAGCAAGGTAGCACGATCATTGGAAAGTTTGGGGAGGAACTTGTATGATAAAATTTTGTTCCTTCAAAGTCCACTGGCAGGGCTTTGACATTGAAGTAAAAAAAAAAAAGTCTACAGAAGCCATGATATCCCAGGTTAGGTAAGTGCTCTTCCACCTAGCTACATGCTATCTCTTACAAATGTTTGTTTTTGTTTTTGTTTTTCCTTTGCTGATATTGAGGCTTGAACCTAGAGCTGGGGCACTGTCCCTTAGCTTTTTAAAAAATGTTACATTTTTGTTAGTTTTAAATAATTGTTCAAAGCAGCTATCACTCAACTAATTAGCTTATAAAGAAAATGCATCTTGATCAATATCACCTTCCATCATTTTCCCTCATTCCCCATACCCCAACTCTTCCAATTTTCCTAGTTTCACATAATATGCATTGAATAGTATGACTGCATTTCCTCCCCTTTATTCCTCTAATTTTTTCCTAAAGGCTGCACTCTACCACTTGAGCCACAGCTCTACTTGCTTTTGGGATGTTAACTGGAGATAAGATTCTCACAGAACTTCCTGCCGTGGCTGGCTTCAAACCATGATCCTCAGACTTCAGCCTCCTGAATTACTAGGATTACAGGCATGAGCCACAGGCACCCTGCTCATCTTTCATTTCTTTCGTCAGGCTCAAGGGGAATGTTAAACATTTATTTTATTTTATTTTTTTATTTTTGCTTATGTGGTGCTGAGGAATCGAACCCAGGGCCTCTGGCATGCAAGGCAAGCGCTCTACCACTGAGCCAACTTCCCAGCCCCGGGAATGTTAAACATTTATAAGGATTTCCCACTTGTTTTCTTCTCTTCACTTTTGGAGGTTTGTGTTCTACAGATGTAGATAAAATGAATCTATTACATTTTTTTTTAAACAAAGGGCCTGTGTATGCTAGGAAATGCTCTACCACTTGAGTCACATCTTCAACCCTGAAGCTAAATTCTAGATAATCTAAAAAGTGCATTTCATAAGGGGAAGGAACGTTTACATGCACCCAGACTTTTTTAGTCATCTAAATCTTGCACGTTTCTTTGGTTTTTAAAATTAACCCCTTCTACCCTTGTCATAGTGTCATTTCCTTTTCTGTGGTTTTCAGAGTTCCCCTCTGCTTTCTCTTTCACCATCAAGTATCTCTGATTCTTGGCTTCTTTTCCGCCAGAAACGCCTCTCCATTGCTCATCTGTTTCCTCTTCATTTACAACAAATCCTAACCTGGAATCTATTCCTGAACAGGAATCTTACTTGGCAAAAGTGCTTAAGACCTTTTTCTAGGAACTTGCAAATCAAAGTGAATTGCTATTACAGCATTGGACAACTACACCTACTAATGAACTTAAAAAAAAAAACACACAACTTTAGAAGGAATCTAATCAAAGGAGACAACCTGTAAATATGAGAAGGATCTTTGGCACTATCTCATCTAAAGCCTGTCTCCTCTAATGCTTATTAGGAAACCATGGCTTATTTGGCTTCCTTTATTTTTAAAAATAAAAATTTATTGTAAAGATGATATATGAGGGGTTATAGTTACATTAAGTCAGGAAATGAGTAAATTGCCTTTTGAACAGTGAAACCCCTTCCCTCATTCTTTTCCAGTCATCCCCCCCCCCCAAATTGTATAGTTTATTTCCAACATAGTGTCTAGTGAGTATCATTGCTTAATTGGTTCATATTTTGGACCCACCCTTTCTGTGCTTTCCCTTCCTCTTTATAATACTGAGGGCATTATACTGAGGTAAGGGTATGGACCAAAATTAGAAGGGTTCAATAACCCTTCTACTTCCAGGAACTTTTATGCCTCAAGGGAAATATCACCATCTAGTGACTCTTTAAGGATCCTACAGCAAGTCTTCTAAATAATGTTTTAATATCATTTAAGCTAGTTTTACTTTAAAATTAACTACTTGAACCAGGCACTGATGGCCCATGCCTGTAATGCTAGCTACTCTGGAAGCTGAGATCTGAGGATTGCAGTTCAAAGCCATCCCTGGCAGGAAAGTCTGTGAGACTCTTAACTACCTGAAAACCGAAGTGGAACTGTGGCTTAAAGTAGTAGAGCAAATACGCTCAGGGACAGCACCCAGGCCCTGAGTTCAACCTTATGACTAACAAAAATAAATAAAATTAATTACTTGTGATTGAGGAGAAGGTATCAACATGAAAACCAAGACTGTGCAGAATCTTTTCCCAGAGAAATAGAGTAGTGACAAACACTAATACAATGCAACAAATATCCTTGCTGTTTCAGTGTGTTTTGTTATTTTGAAGGGGGAGAGAGGGGTTGAACTCAGAGTCTTTGCTCTACCACTTGCCTCCAGCTCTTTTTTATGTTTTATTATTTATTTTTAGGTCAGTTGTGGGGCTTGAACTCTGGAGCCTGGGCACAGTTCCTCAGCTGTTCAGCTCAAGGCCAGTGCTCTACCACTTGAGCCAAGTGCCACCGGTTTTTTGGTGTTTTATTGGAGATAACAGTCCAACGGGCAGCTCGGGCTGATTTGAACCGCGATCCTCAGATCTCAGCCTCCTGAGCAGCTAGGATTACAGATGTGAGCCACTGGCGCCCAGCTCCCTTTTTTATTTTTCAGTTGCTTTTTAGATAGGGTGTCTCTGGGCTAGTCTCTGCCCCAGATCCTCTTATATATGCCTCCGCACAGCTGGGATTACATCTTGTTGGTCAAGATGATTTATTTTTAAGCTCACAGCTGGCCTTGAACCTTGATTCTCAGGATCTCTTCCTCTCTAGTAGCTGATTACTGATTTGAGCCACTGACCTATGCAGTAGAGCTTATTAACAACTAACCTCCAAAAAGCCAAAGTGGTAAGATGACCTATCAGTTAAGCTTAGGCTTTCTAGTTGCTTTATGTACACATGGCCTATATGACCTATATAAAATGAGAATGCTCCCCACTATCTAAGGGCAGAGAGGTTTTGTTTTGTTGGTCATACTGGTGTTTGAATTCAGGGCTCATGGTAGGTGGGAGGTCTACCGCTTGAGCCATGTGTCAAGTTCCACAAGAGTTGCAGACTATTTTAGAGCATCCTATGTGCACTTCTGCCGTGTTCCACTTGTTTCCACACAACTTGGCGACCCTATGTCAGAATGCTTATGTCTGCAGCTTTCAGAGTGAAACGGAGGCCAATCACCTGTGCTTAAGCTCGCTGAACTTCATTTTCTCCGTCTGTAAAGTGGGGCTATTATTTTTACCAAAATATTTTGAACACTAGATGATTAAAATCCCATGGGAGTAGCCTTAGCCCATGAAAGTGTTCTCTCTGTGTTAACATCATTAAGTCCTAGCCATCTTGATTTTAAAGAGGACTCCTCCCCCCTTTTTTTGATGATGGCTCCATCTCAAGCTTTATAAATTACCACTCCCTGCCCCAGCTCTTATTAAAAGGTCCAGTTAGGATGTATGACTGTTTTGTGTCAAGCCATTTTAGACTTAAAAGACCTTTCACAATGTCTCTAATAACTGACACGCCCCCGCCCCCCAGCCTGCAAGAATGCATAAACTCAATTTACAGCTTATCTTTAGACGTCTTAAAGTGTGCAGGACCTTTACTTCGCATCACTCCCTATCCAATCACCCACACGCGAAAACTTAAAAAAGTTGGCTCTTCTCGCTCCAATTGGCCACAGAGCCTGTCAATCCAAACCTCTCCCCACCCCTCCCACAACATCTCTCAACATTAACACTTTAGCCACGCCCTTGGGGGGGTGGAGCCTAGCCGCTGATTGGCCAAGTCTCCACTGCACGTGGGACCATCTAGGCCGCGCACGAGAAGTCTGTGGGAGGTGGCCGAGGCGCGTGGAGTGGCGCGCGCGCCCCGCCCCCGGAGGGTCCCCTCCCCCTCCGCTTACTCCCCCTCCCCCCCGGCGGCACTCCCGCCCCCCTCTCGCACAGACTGGTCTCCACGGCGGTGGCGGCGGTTTGTGGTCGTTGGTCTCTAGGATTTAGGCCCAGCCCTTGAAGACCCGACGGGGTGAGGAGGAGATGGGGTCCGCGGGGCACCTTCCAAACCGCTACTAACGGCTGGCGGCCCGGCCTCCTGGCCGCACGGAGGGCAGCGGGGTAGTGCGGTCCCCGCGACCACGAGGGCGGCGTCCGTGAGCCTCAGCCCCGTCGAGCGGGCGGGTGGGAGCGTCGTCCGGGCCCACCTCCCCTTCCGCTCGCCCTCCCTCCCTCCCTCCCTCGTGCTGCGCCGTCGGCGACCCCCGCCATCCTTCCGCCGAGGCGCAGCCTCCCCCTCCGCCTGGTTTCCGCCCGCCGCCGCCGCCGCCTCTCTTCCGGCCGCCCCTCGCCCCTCGCCGCCCGCGCCCTCCCCGCACCCGTCCTCGCTGCCTCCGCCCGGCGGCCGTTGCGCGTCCGCCCGGCAGCCTGGCCGCGTCCACCCTCGACGTCTAGACCCGGGGTGAGAAGGCAGGTCGCGGCGCGGGGCTTCCTCGAGTTCTCACGGGGAGCGGCCTCGAACTTCCTCCGCGGTGGCTGCCCGGGCCCTCGGGGTGGGCGTCGGGGTTTGAGGGGCGGGGTGGGGTGCGGTGGGGGGGGGCAGAGCGTCCCCTCGGGCCGCCCGGGGCCGCTGCCTCCTTGCCGGCTCTTGGTACTAGGGGTGGCTGGGACGAACACGAATGGGGAGGGGGGCCCGCCCAGACTCCCGGGCTTAGGCCTGGCGTTGAAGCCGCGTTGCCGTGCGCTCGGGCGGCGACTCGGAAGCCCGTGCGTGGCGCGGCCGTCCCCGGGGTTGGCCCTTCTCCCGCAGCGCCCCACGCACCCGCAGCGCCCCACGCACCCGCAGCGCCCCTCGCACCCGCTTCTCCTCTGGTTGAGTGCTGCATGTCTCGGTAGACGGAAAGCCCCTGTGATTCCCGGCATCTGTAGAAGTTCGCTTACGTGTAGGACGAAAACCTTTTCAAGAGTCCCAGTGTATTTTTCCCAGACTTTAATGTGCAGCCTTTACGAGGTAAATTTCCAGCTAGGCTCCCTTGGCGCACACCTGTAAGCCTAGTTACTCAGGGCGCTGAGAGCTGAGGATGACGGCTTGAAGCCAGTCTGAGCAGCAAAGTCTGTCAGACTTATTTATCCCTGATGAAGGAAAGCAGGAAGGAAGGAGAGAAAGAAAGGAAAGAGCGCCTGAAGTGGAGCTTTGTTTCAGAGGACAGAGAGCTAATCTTGAGCACAACCAGCTTGTGGATAGTGCCCAGCCCTGAGTGCAAGCTCCTGGAGGGGCAACAAAAGTGAACAAATAGATTTTCTTTATGAGCTGTAACCCAATAGGTACGTTTCTAGGGTCTGTATTCATTGCAGAATTACTATTTTAATAATTATTTGCAACTATACACTGTTAAAGACGGAGTGACTGCCAGTGTTGTGTTGTTAAATTCTAGTGAACATTTTCTGCTTTGCGTGTGGGGGGGGGGGGGGGGACGGGGCGGGGGGAGCGCTTAAACTGGGCCTGGGCGCTGTCTCTTAAGGCTGTCTGTTCAAGGCTGGTGTTCTACCACTTGAGACACCTTTGTCCCGAAGTCTTTTCTTTTCTCTTAAGGCTGGTGTTCTAGAGACACATCTCCAGTCTGCTTTTTGCTAGTAAATTAGAGATAAGACTGGGGAATTTTTCTGTCTTGGCTGGTTTTGAAGCTTAGATCTCAGCCTCCTGAGTAACAAGGATTATGCATGAGCCACCGGTGCCATACTAAGGTACAGCCTTAAATGCTAAATTTCAAGGGAGATTTATTGGACTTGGAGATAATTGCCAAGAATTATAATACAGCCCGATTATTAAAATTTGAACGTATTGTATTATTGAATATGATAAGCAGTATGAATTATTGAAGTGAAATTAGGCCATTTTTTCTGATGGTGTAATTATTTTTTTTTTTTTTTGGTCGGTCGTGGGGTTTGAGCTCTGGGCTTGGGTGCTGTCCTCAGCTCTTCAGCTCAAGGTGAGCACTCTCACTTCACAGCGCCACTTCTGGTTTTCTAGTGGTTTTTATTGGAGATAAGAGTCTCACAGACTTTCCTGCCCGGGCTGGCTTCGAACTGGGGATCCTCAGATCTCAGCCTCCTGAGTAGCTAGGAGTACAGGCGTGAGCCACTGGGACCTGGCCTTGATGGTGTAATTTTTGTTGGTAAGAAACATGTCAGTTTGAGGAAGAGTTATGAAGTTAATGTCTTTATAAATTACCCTCAATTTCATCAGTTTGTGTGGACTGCTGGAGTCATAACAGTTTGAGGTGTTAGTACCTATCAGGTAGGGCTTGTTGCTCTGAAGTTCCATTAGTTGTGGTTGCAGAATTTTCTGAGCAGTAATCCATGGTGTTCCTGTCTGTAGTTATCACTGCTGCTGCAGAAAGACTTCTTTGGTTTAAACAAACTTAGCAGTGCAAATTTGTCCTCAACAGCTATGGAAATCAATTAAATTAGTTTTTCCGGGTGGAATTCCAGTCTGTGACTGGTTAAATGGTTGCTTAGAATAGAGTTTAATGTTAACAAAAAGGAAAGAAAGGATAAAAGGGGAGAGGGTTGAATAGAAATCAAATATAATGATATATAAATATTGCATTTTAAACTGTTACTGGCACTGACTTGAACTCAGGGGCCTCTCACTCTTTTGGCTCTGTGTTTTTTAAAGTGTTTGAGAAGAATCTAAAAATAATAAAAAGAGATGAAATAGTATCTCTTTTATTGAAATAAGCAGAGAAAGGTCAGAGTTGTGATTTGACAAGGCTTTTTTTTCTTTTTCTTGTGCCAGGGTTTGAACTCAGGACCTCAGATTCTCCCTCTGGTTTCTTGAGCAGGGTTGGGGTTCTACCACTCAAGCCATGTCTTCTCCAGGCCAGCATTTTTCTAGTTAATTAGAGATGGAGTTTCATAGACTGTTCTGCCCAAGATGGTTCCTGCAATCCAAAGAAATGTTCTTAAGTTCTTGTTATAAATATGCACTGTTACTTACTTTTGTTTTAGGAACTGCAACCATGAACGAAGAAAATATAGAAGGAACAAATGGGTGCAGTAAAGTTAGAAGTGGGACCCAGAATGAAGCAGCGTTGCTGGCTTTGATGGAGAAGACTGGATATAACATGGTTCAAGAAAATGGGCAAAGGAAATTTGGTGGTCCTCCTCCAGGTATGAATTTTATATTCTTTTAAGTCATATATTTATGGTAATTACTTAGATTAGGTATCAGCCCACAAATTCAGCTCTTACCTTGTAACTGATTTAACACCCCAGCAATCATTTTGAGGAGTGAGAGATTGTAAAAGTTATGCTTGTTTTACCCACATGCTTCATCCATGTTGTTTATTGCTTTAAGAAGCAGAAAGAGGTTGAAATTACAAAGAAGTCAAGTAGGGCAATGAGAAAAACTGTACTGCTAGATTTATAAGATTAGTCATAGGGGAGAAATTTGAAAGAGCAATGAGTAGTGATGTAGTATTTATACAAGAAAAACAGGCTCAGACCAATATCCAGTGTGGTTCTTTGAAGTCTGAAACCCTCCAGTTAACTTTCTTTATTTGAGATATTGAATAATTTTTAAAATTGTTACTGTAAAGGTGATGTTCAGAGAGGTTACTGTTAAATAAATCAGGTGAAGAGTACATTGTTTTTAAACAATGTCACTGCTTGTCTTGCTCTCTTCCAGTCCAGTTAACTGTCTTACACTTAAAACTCAGTGTCTGCTTGCCTCAAGGACTATATTAACTTAATTATTTTGCCCATCCTCAGGTACACTTTAGCCATATAGCCTCCTCACTCTATTTTGTTCTGATTTATAAAACTCTTGCCTTGTCTTCCTAAATGGCCTTCTTACAGGTAATCTTCACAGAGTATTCCTCATTTCACTCAGGTCTTTGCATAAAGCTTGTCTTGCTTTTAAACCTAATTTGTGTATGTATAGGCAAGCTGGTCCTAGGGTTTGAACTCAGGGCCTGAGTGCTGTCCCAGAGCTTCTTATGCTAAAGATTAGTGCTCTAACACTTGAGCCACAGCTCCATTCTGGCTTTTTTGGTAGTTTATTGGAGATTAAGAGTATAATGAACTTTCCTTCCCTGGTTGGCTTCAAACCATGGTCCTCGGATCTTAGTCTCCTGAGTATCTAGGATTACAAGCATGAGCCTCTATCATTCACCTTAAACCTAATTCTTTGAGAGAGTTGTTCTCCCACTTAGCTCAAGATTTACGTGACTACTTTATTGAATATAAAACTGGCTTATTCTTCATAACCACTTACTGCTCACTCACTGTCTCTCTTCTTCATTGAGATAAGCTTTATGAAGAAAGGGACTTTATTTTGTTCACTGTGGTATCCCCGATAGCTAGACTAGTACGTCACATAGAAAAGAATATGTTGAAAGAATATGTGATTCAATAATATATGTATATATGTATATATATATATATATATATATATTAGAGTTTTTAAAATTTATTTTTGTCTTTCAGGTTGGGAAGGTCCACCTCCACCTAGAGGCTGTGAGGTTTTTGTAGGAAAAATACCTCGTGATATGTATGAAGATGAGTTAGTTCCTGTATTTGAAAGAGCTGGGAAGATATATGAGTTTAGACTTATGATGGAATTTAGTGGTGAAAATCGAGGTTATGCTTTTGTGATGTACACAACAAAGGAAGAGGCTCAATTAGCCATTAGAATTCTTAATAATTATGAGATTCGACCAGGGAAGTTTATTGGTGTGTGTGTAAGCTTGGATAATTGTAGATTGTTTATTGGAGCTATTCCCAAGGAAAAGAAAAAAGAAGAAATTTTGGATGAAATGAAGAAAGTTACAGAAGGAGTTGTAGATGTCATTGTTTATCCAAGTGCAACTGATAAAACCAAAAATCGTGGTTTTGCATTTGTTGAATATGAATCTCACAGAGCTGCTGCTATGGCAAGGAGGAAACTAATTCCAGGTAACCTCATCATTTAAAGTCTTAAATATGGAATAAAGACTTGTACATTTCATATCATTATTATATCAACATAGATGAGGAATAAAGACTTGTTTTGGTAAGGAAGTAGATGATTCCAAAAGACAAGATGTTGCTTCCATAAACATAAATCATACTTATGCTAATTTGCCAATTATTAAACCAACGTACTTTAATTGAGCTGTTAATATTCAGTAAAAATGCATTACTTCTCATAATAGTGGTCTAATTTTAAAGCTTGTGCTTTAAAGTAATATGTGTCATATTGACTATAAATTTCACCGTAAGTTCTAATTAGAATTGTTAAGGTTTTGAAAACTTTTGGTGAGTTGGAAACAAATATATATTTGTGAGTTTCTGCTTCTTTGGATAAACAATTTTACATTTTCAAACTTTTAATTGTCTTCAAATTAATCTCTTTTATAGGAACATTTCAACTATGGGGCCATACCATTCAAGTAGATTGGGCTGATCCTGAGAAAGAAGTTGATGAGGAAACCATGCAGAGAGTTAAAGTTCTCTATGTAAGAAATTTAATGATCTCTACTACCGAAGAAACAATTAAAGCTGAATTCAATAAATTCAAGCCTGGTGCAGTTGAAAGAGTAAAGAAACTTAGAGATTATGCTTTTGTTCACTTTTTCAACCGAGAAGATGCAGTAGCTGCAATGTCTGTTATGAATGGAAAATGTATTGATGGAGCAAGTATTGAGGTAACACTGGCAAAACCAGTTAATAAAGAGAACACTTGGCGACAGCACCTTAATGGTCAGATTAGCCCCAATTCTGAAAACCTGATTGTATATGCTAACAAAGAAGAGAGCCACCCAAAAACTCTAGGCAAGCCACCAACTCTTCCCACTCGTCTCAATGGTCAGCATAGCCCAAGCCCCCCTGAAATTGAAAGATGCACTTACCCGTTTTTTCCTGGAACAAAGCTTACTCCAATTAGTATGTATTCTTTAAAGTCCAATCACTTTAATTCTGCAGTAATGCATTTGGATTATTACTGCAACAAAAATAATTGGGCACCACCAGAATATTACTTATATTCAACAACCAGTCAGGATGGGAAAGTACTCTTGGTGTATAAAATAGTTATTCCTGCTATTGCAAATGGATCCCAGAGTTACTTCATGCCAGACAAACTCTGCACCACGTTAGAAGACGCAAAGGAACTGGCTGCCCAGTTTACATTACTTCATTTGGGTAAGTTTAAAAATACTTTTAATATTGTAGAATGTAAAATTAGAAAGTATGATGGATTGAAATTTCATTTATTGTTGGGCGCTGGTAGCTCATGCCTGTAATCCTAGCTACTCAGGAGGCAGATCTGAAAATCATGCTTCAAAGCCAGGCAGGGCAGGAAGTCCTTGAGACTCTTTATCTTCACTTAACTAGCAGAAAGCCAGAAGTGGGTCTGTGGCTCAAGTGGTAGAGCACTAGCCTTGAGCAAAATAGCTCAGGGACAGTACTCATGCCCCGAGTGCAAGCCCTAATATTACCATGAAAAAAATCATTATTTTGAACTCTTAACATTAATGGTAAGTATGTAATGAATTTTATTTCAATTATAGGAGTTTATGAAAAATTATTGAAACTTGTCTACTGTATACTTTTTTTTTCTAGTACTTGTGTTTTGAACTCTGGGCCTCTTGCTTACAAGGCAGGTGTTCTGCTGAGCCATAACTGTTGCCTTTTTTGTCATTAATTGTTTTGAGATAGGGTCTTGCTTTTTGCATGTGTTTGGGCCTGTACTGTGATCAGCCTATTTCAGGCTTCCTGTCATAGCTAGGTTGACAAGTGCATAGCACCATACTCAGCTTCTGTTGAGATAGGGACTTGTGACTACTTTAATTTGTTTTTAGTATGGACTGGCCTTGAACCTTGATCCTCTTGAGTCTCAGCCTTCAGCATAGCTGGTATGACAAGCATGTGTCACTATACCCAGCTATTGATTGAGAAAGGGTCTCATGTGTACATACCTGGGCTGGCCTCAAACTGATCCTTCCAATCCCAATCTCCCAAGAAGCTAGAACTATAGGCATGAGTCACTGGTATCCAACTTGCATTTATTTTTATTTTTATTTTTTTTTTTAGCATTAGTGAGGAAAATTGTTTTGATTTCCCGTAGAGTTTAGACCTTGCTTTTTCTTCATTGTTTTTCTAATGACAAATCCTTATTTGATAATTTCTGTATAAGTTACAGGATTTGTTTTGTAAACCAAAACTTTAATGACCTTTTGGATGAAGTGGCAGGGAGTTCATATGATCAGAGGAATTTGTAGACAAAGCATTATGCTTACTAATCTGGAGATTAGTCATTATTACTCATGAAAGACAAAAAACATCACTAGATATGTTCATAACCATTCTTTTTTAAGTTCATACTTTCAAAATAAATCTAGATGTTAGAGAGATAATTCAGAAGGACTTTGGGCACATAAACCTGCCAATCAAATATTTGGCCTTGGTAAAAATTTATTTTGAACACTTCATTTATCTATTATGTTAGCCTATCCCTGATTCTTAACATGGTTGCAGCAGAATTACACTACTCATATTTATTTAAATTTATATTTATTTAAAGTTGATATTCTTGTGTGTTTGAAAAAAGTAATTGAAAAGGAGAAATACTGTCAAAGGGAGAATAATTTTTTTTCTTTTGTCAGTCATGGGGCTTGAACTCTGGGCCTGGGCGCTATCCCTCAGCTCTTCAGATCAAGGCGAGCGCTCTACCGCTTGAGCCACAGCACCACTTCTGGTTTTCTAGTGGTTTATTGGAGATAAGAGTCTCACAGACTTTCCTGCCCAGACTGGCTTTGAACCGTGATCCTCAGATCTCAGCCTCCTGAGTAGCTAAGATTACAGGCGTGAGTCACCAGCGCCTGGCTGGAGAATAATTTTTACACGTTGTGTAACTCATCTATCAAAGCCATTCCCATGGTGTTTAAGGGGATACTGAACTGGAGATCTCATCACAGTGTTTAGGCTGAAGGTAGATTCTTCTTCCAAGAAAATTTCAGTAAGCTCCCCATTAATAGTTTGGAGGTAATAGAGAAGTTAACTCTTATCGAAGTTAATTCTTAGGTATGATAGAAGCCTTCCATTTTTGTTTTAATATAGAGATTCTGAATAAAAGGTAAAGTAGTTATGTTCAAATACTTATGTGCAGTACTTAGAGATAAAAGGGCACAATTTTTCTGAGTAGAATATAGGTAATTGTTGAGAAAGGTACGTATGTCCAACCTTCAATAATAATTCTGAAGCATTTTATTTCAAATTTAAAGATCTGAGATCTTACAACATAATAGGCTTGGTCTATTTCATAGCAGATTTTAATGTAGATATGGTTTGCTTATCTGATTATCCCATAAAGAAGATGAAAGTTTATATGGAGCTAAAGGTTTTTATTCAGCTTTTAGCTTCCTCATTAGGATGCTTTTAATTTAAGTGCTAACCATAGTTGACCACTACTGATCTGTAGATTCCTAAGAAAACTCAATTGGATTTTGGTTAATTGGGGGATAAAATTAGCTTTAAACATTAAATTCTTAGTGCAAGATGTTTATCAACCTTGAATCAAAGCCTCTTTAATAAAAATTTCAATGATTTCTATTTTATGTATTTTTTAAGTCCCTACTCATCATCAGGGAGAAGAGCCAATAAAATGTAGCAGTACCTAAGTGTAAACAAACTTAGATTAATTCCTAGAGTCTATTTAGGTTATATATACTAGGCCTGAAGCTTGACTAGGGAGAGTAACCAAAACCTTTATTGTACTTTACTAGACTAAACGAAGACTATTGAGTTAGAGGCAGAAAATGTATCTAGGCAATTGGGGAATAGGGAAAAATTCAGAGAAGCAGACAAGCCAGAGGTCAAGGATTTAAAAAACTTTGATCTGGAAACAAATGTGTAATCTTCAGAGGCTGTGAAAGAACTAGACAGATAGGAGCCTACATGATGCATTACAAATAGATTGAGTATTGTAGCAGTGTTCTAGTTAATTTTTTCTTGTCTAACAACATTGGAACCTCTAATTAAACACTTTGAGAGGGTTGATGCTTTTTCAGTTTCATCTTCCCTTCCGTAAAGGTTATAGGGTTTCTTGTGGTAGTTTACAATTCAGACCACATGATTGTAGTGATGTGTTCCTGGAGGGGGAGAAGTAGCATATTACTTTCATCTTGTATAATGTTTTGAACATTGCATTTTTCTGAGATCTTGATGACTTACTAGTGGTTCCTAGGTTGTCTTATAGACAGTTCCTTACATATTAAGTTATCCTTTGGCTGTATTAAAGGATCTGAGAAATCTAATCTTCCAGATAAGGCATTGAACTATTCTTATGATATTTCTTTGGATGTAGTAATTAAAAAAAACCTAGGTATTTTCAGATGAATCCTTTCAATTTGGTGCCTTTTTCATGCATGTGAATCTCCACCCTGTTGTACAACTACTATATACCAATTAAAATCTTTCTTAAGTTGCTCTTTATATATTTAAATGATCATCACTGGCATTTTTTATGAAAAAAAAGAAGATACAGCTTTTGAAGGATAAATGAGTATTGGAAATTGGGTAGTTCCATTTGTGGTGACTACTTAATGTTCTTAGCATAATACTCAAAAAATTTTAATCAGATATGTGTGTGCGTGAGCGCACACATACATGTCTGCACACATACTGCCATTTGAAGGGAAGTCCATTTTAGGCAAAATCCCTATAATGGAAGGCTGAAAACTGGGGTTAATGCCAAAATCAAAATCCTATACCTCAAAATTAGACTATCTCCATCTTTGTAATGTCAAAGAATAATGTCATTGGGAATTGATAGTTGAGCAGGAACTTCTATATTCAGTTTTTTTTGTGTATGTATGATAATTTCGTAATATATCCCAAGCTGGTCTTGAACATGTGATCTTCCAGCCTCACCCTCTTGAGATCATTGAGTTTGGGATGGGTAGAATGAAGATTCAGGATGTAGGATAGCTGAGTTCTAAAACATGTTTGAACTATGGAGTCATCTTGGATCATTTAGTATTACTTTTAAAATATTTTCTGTTTTGTAGTTTTACATCTGTTTGTGGTAGGTTAGACTTATCAGTATGAATAAGCTTTATTCTAAAAGTTTGACTCCCTTTCGAATCTGGGTCTTTCAGTATTTTTATGGCTTTCCTAGATGATTCCTTCCCATGTAGTAGTAGATTAGGCCAAATCAAGGAGTTAAAGGAAAGTTCTGAGGAGTCAGAATATCTTCGAAAAACAAGTCCTGATGAATACAGAGTGGAGCAAATTAGTTATCTTTATGTGTCTTGATTCGATTTTATCTTACTAAATAATAGCAAAATCATTGTAGGCGAGGCATCTCTTGTTTCTGTGTGTAAGATTTTTTTGTTTTGTTTTGTTGGTCATGGGGCTTGATCTTTGGGCCTATGTGCTGTCCCTCAGCTCTTCAGCTCAAGGCTAACGCTCTTGAGCCACAACACCACTTCCGGTTTTCTGCTGGTTTTATTTGTAGATAAGAGTCTCACTGACGTTCTTGCCCCTGCTGGCTTTGAACCGCGATCCTCAGGTCTCAGTCCTCAGCTACTCAAGTCTCCTGAGTAGCTAGGATTACAAGCATGAGCAACCAGTCCCTTGCTTGGAAGATTTTTTTGACCACCTAATCTCTTTGAGGATGAGAACCTTTGTGTTACAAAGGTTTAGTTAATATCCTATTGTTGTGGCCAAAACTGATGAAATGTTAATTAAAGACAAATCTTTTTTGGATAGCTTATGTGCTTTCTTTTGCATTTGATAGCAAAACGTGTTTTGTTTGGAATCTGGATCTAATGAAGTTAGGTACTCAAATTCTATACATAGGCTATCAGTTATTTTGGGAGAACAAGAGGAGAGTACAGCTCCTACCTGTTCTAAATTGTAAATCTTGAGGGGAATCTTAGTTTGCTGCTGGATGGAGTCCATGTTAGACAATTCAGGGGGTATTTTCTTTGATAATTTCACCCTGATCTTAAGAATTACTTAGATGGAAAAGATGGAGACATTGCTTAAACTTTCATTAGTTTTGTAGTTTTTTTAGTCCATTATGTTTTCTGTATTTGCTTTTTCCTCTGAGCAAGTAATTTTTCTAGATTAATCTGTCCTGATTTGTGGAGACCATTGTGTATGTGAATAATTACCTTTTTAATATTTCTGTACTTTAA